CGGTTCAGCTAACCCATCCACTCGCATCATCATTCAGAATCTGTTGTCACATGCGTTCGCCTCTTTGTTTCACTTGAAATGATTCTAATCCTAATTAGTTTATTTTATATATGTATTTTTCTTTCCGCATCGTCTTCTTCTTTAATAATAACAACAACTACTACTAGTAGTAGTTTCTATATTTAATAGAGTCAATCGAACGACAATGAACATCAATCTTGATGCATGCACAAAGAAGCAAAGAAAATCGAACACATTTTATAAAGAAAAAAGACAGAGAAGAGAAAGAGAATATTTGATCGATGTTAAAGAAAACAATTTGCGATCGAATGAAAGTCTCAAGAGAGATGATCGGCAATAAGAAAAAGAGAGACAGAGAGAAGGTAGTGAGAGTCATTCAATTTTTTTTTTGCTTTCTTCATTTCTTTTTCGTTTTTTTTTTATTGTTTGTAACCAATCAGCATAGAGATTAATAGAGAAAGAGAGAGAAACATAACATTGTACACATTTTAATATTCCAATTACATTTCATGTCACGCCCGATTACAGAAAGTCGAATGGCTTCAACAACCAGTTTCTTTTACTTGCCATCAAATATAATTCGATCAACAACAATGTCAAAAGCATTCAAAACTAAACGACGATGTTTTCCTTCATTTTTTATTACTGATATACTTGGTAATCATAGTCGTTCACCATCACCTAATAATACAATTCGTCTAACGTCAATGATAGATAAAGATGCTGATGAAAGTGGTGATGAAGATAACACTATGTTACATGATAGTGATGATAATGGTAAGCATCTAAGTCAGATTTAGAAGCTTAACTCAGCATTATAGAATTAGTGATGAAAATGAATTTCAAATGATTTTAACCAATAAATATTTTTAACCAATCGTAAGATTTATAATTTTTTTTTTTTCAATTTTTATAGAATCAGATATTGGTGAAGAAACAAGTACATCAGATAGTGGTGGTGGTCGTCATAGTCTTAATACTAGTTCATTAAAAACAAATAAAAAACCACGTAAAGCTCGTACAGCATTTACTGATCAACAATTAAATTGTTTAGAAAAAAGTTTTGAAAAACAAAAATATTTAAGTGTTCAAGATCGTATGGAACTTGCTGCTTGTCTTAGTTTATCGGATACACAAGTTAAAACATGGTATCAAAATCGAAGGTAATTTATTTGAATTTTATAAAATATAAAAAAATAATTCAAATAACTTTATAGAACTAAATGGAAACGGCAAACTGCTGTAAGTTTAGAATTTCTTGAACAACAAGGAAGTTTTGCTGCTGTTCATCGATTACTTCAACATCATCCACATATTAGTACGAATATTGGTAGTTCACATCCTTCACTATGGTATTCACCATATATACCATCATGTACAACTACTACTGCTGATGCATTCTTTACACTTCAACAACAATCTTTAAGAGACACAAATAAATCTTCATGTGAATCATTAACTTCGACTATAACGAGTTCGAACAAATCTGTATAAATTCTCTTTTTTTTTTTTTGTTTTCTTTTTTTTTTTTTTTGATTTGTCTTTTATTCTTCTATTCTCATATAAATATATACATTCAATACAGATGATTGAAAGAAATGCAAATATGTGCGATGATTGTTTTGTTTCAATCGATCTTCACCGACGAAATGAAATCATAGGAAGTCAATAGCTTTGCTTTTTTTTGTTTCTACAGAGTAATTGTAAGAAAATAGAAACAGAATAGGAGATGATTGATAATTCAATTTCATTCATTCAACATATATGTATAGGTACATACACACACCTGTAAACAGTAATGCAGTGAAATAATTTTGTTTAATCAATTTTTCTCTCTTGTGTATATTGAAAATGGTGGTAGAAAAAAGAACAACAGAAATTTGTTCTATTCTTTGCATGTGCAATACTCAATATGTGACGAAATGGAAATAATCATGATGATGATGATGATGATGATTAAAAAATGGACACTTGATTGGCTTTTGAATAAAGTACGCATATATATATTGATGATGCTTGTCAAGAGTTTTTTTTTCGCTTATTCACGCATGCATCTTACAGGTATCATTGATTGTAAAGTAGAATATAAAAAAGAAATAGTTGTTCTTGTTCTTGTTCTTATTTTCTTTTAAATTGAAAATATTAGAAAATTATTATGTTTATTCTTAGAATTCTATGATAATAATCGATTGATAAACAATGTTTATCAAGAACATTTTCGATTGAACAATCATGTATATGTTACATTTTATAGGAAATTTATCTTGTCGGTTGTGATCAACTTACATTCGAATAATCATACTAGCTTTAATGAAGACAAATATTGGCAAGAAGTTTTTGTTCTCTTAATAGAATAACAAAAAAAAAACAAAACTTGAAGTTAGCGATTCAGAGATTCATTCATGTAAGAATTCAGTTCTGATTATAAGTTATAACTTAATACTTGAACAGGAGTATCAGAAAGATTGAGAAAGGTTATGATGAGCGAGACAAATCGTTTTTTTTCATCTCGAACCTGATCAGAAAATAATTTTTGATTTTGGTTTTGTGTTTAGTACAAATGACCTATAATATCTTCCTTTTAAATGCTCATCGCTTTGTCTTAATTCATTAATACTTCATCTATTTTGTACATTTATGTTGTGTTGGACTACTCTTTGAAAATTGTAACAGCTAGTGACGAATGAAAATTATTTTACCTAAATCTAGAAACAGTTCCAGTTCGCTAAGAACAAACGAAGATTTTGCCGAATCGAAGATCCTTCCGTCCTCGGAATACTCCTGCACTTGAAGATGGAACACATTTTATATTTATCTGAAAGTCATCTTTGATTACAAAAGTGCCCAAATATTAGAACTTTGGTTTTTGCGAGTTTGACAATGGTGAATTTTTCGTAGAACTTTTCTGTGTATTTAAGCTCACATCTCTTTTGAGAATCGTTTATAGGGATCTACAAAATGGTCCCGGTCCCGACGGGATCAGGACCGGAACCGGGACCGAGACTATAACTTTTTCAGACTGGTCCCGGTCAGCTTCTTTTTACCAAGTATCTCTAATATATATTTTCACCTTTTTTACTATGTCCTGATAAAAAAATCTGTAAATCAACTATTTTTGTTTCCAAATCCGATAAAAGCCTTTTACAAATCACAGTTCTGTCATCAAGAAACGAATTTTTTTGGGAAGTTGAGCAGGTTTTCGAGTATGCAAAACATAATATACATAGATTAGACTCAATCACACTTTAAACATCCCTTATTTATATAATGTTTTACCATTATTCTACTACCGTTAGCGTGAATCGGTTAGTTTTATTGTTATAATCATGTATATTTGAGAAAAACTTTGCTACTTGTTGGCAATAGGAAAAAACATAAAACTTAGGCTTAATCTTGCAAAAAAATTCTGGAACTAGCTCTAAAAATTTTAGTTCTGGTCATACAGGTTCTTAGGTACTTCTTCAGATCACAGATATTTCTGTCACCCTCAAATAGTACTATGCCAATCGACATGTATATAGAGTAGTTGTAATCTGAAGAAAAGTCGATCATGAGTTTTGATACATGTGAAAATAGAAAATTTTAGCTATAACAAACACCGAAACCGAGACCGAGATCGGGACCAGAAAAACGTTATTTTGCAGATCACTAATCGTTTAACCTATTTATTTAGTCACACGGTTTCTGTTTCAACTTAACAAAAGAAATTATAGTTTGATTGAAAATTTGAATATTATCAAGTCGAATAAAATACTTTCTGATGAAATAAAATTTTAATTATGAGAAAATCAAACGTTTTATTAATTGGTATTCATTTTCATAGAAGACGAAAGACATAATTAATTTTTTTATGTTTTAAATCTTAAAATTTGACATTACTTTTAGAAGAATATTTTTAAAATCAATAGAATAGAAGAGAATTTGATTTTCCAATAATTTTCGACTCAATGTCGATATTTTTCCAAACACTGAATCAATTATAAACGTGTGGATTTAACATGCAAATGTTCATGATTATTCAATTGAAATTAATTCAAAATTTTCTTCTAAATAGACGAAACAATACGAATATTATTTAATCATATCCGATTTTCGTAAGATGCATATGTGAGAAAATATTCGAATATATGTCGAAAGACAAACAATTTGTGAAACTTGCAGTTGCTAAAATGATATCAAATGAAATTATCAAACTTTGTTCATGTTAGATATTCTCTTTTGGAATCTTTATCAATCATTTATTGTTCTATTTATATTGGGAGAGTATTCAGTTGAAATTCACCATCTTTTCTGTAATTTTCATACTTTAATTAGCTTAGTTTTATTTTGTATCTTATTTGAAAAAACAAATAAATACAACTAATCATCAATCACTTTAACTCATCCTGATGAACTCTATACTTATAAATCTGCGTTAATTTAAAAAAAAAGAACTAATTTAGTAAGATCATTGACTATCAAATTTTATTATTTAAACAATGCATGCAATCTGAATGAAAATTTCCGTCTCAAATACATAATAACAAATTCAGATTGTGTTAAAAATACCTTCTTCTTGAGCATTTTTATCTAGCAGCTAATACTCATGTGCATTCTATTAAAATCTCATCAAATGAAGACAATCATCACCCATTCATTTTCCATCGAATATATCAAACGATAACATCAATACATCTCAATGTTGATATCATGACCTCAACAATTCTACAATAATTTCAAATCTATACACATTTATACAATTGTAGCAGCAAAAGGAAAGTAAAATTTGCTCATGTCATATGCCTTGACTGTTTGTTCTTTGTTCATTGTCTTATCGAACCAATACAATGTTTCAATGAAGGGCAACAAGAACGACGAAGAAAAAAAAAAGTAACATTTAAACTAACCTTCAAGTGAGAACAGGTATACTCTGTGCATCTATTTCAATCAGACAAACATATAAAGTTCATCTGACATATAAAGTGTATTCATTTATTAGAATGAAAATATTAATTCTTATATGTTTTCTATGTTTAATATTATGTATACAACCAGTTGAAAATCATTTTTTCAGTTGGATTCGAGATAAAATTCAAGACAAAATTAGTGCAAATAAATCTCGACATGCATTTGATTGTGGTAAATCAGCTATACAACAAATTTTACCAACTAAAATGGATAAACCACGTGTAACTGGTGGTATATCAGCAGTTGATCATTCTTTTCCATGGGTAGTTAATGTTATCAATCTTAAATCATTAAAATCATGTGGTGGAACAATTATTTCATCGGATACAATAATAACGGGTAAAAATTTATACATATATCAATCGTATAAAATTTTCGTTAAAACAAAAAATTTTTGTTTTCTAGCTGCACATTGTATGGTTGATCCACCAAAATATGTAACTGTTATTGCTGGTGCTGCAAATTTATTGGGTCGTCTTAATCTATTTAATCATTATTCTGTTTCTAAAGTAATTATTCATCCAAATTATGTATCATGTTGTGATTATGATGTAGCATTAATAAAACTTAAAAAAAAACTTCAACGTTCTGATATGATAAATTCAATATGTTTACCGAATGAAAAAGATCAAGAAATAATACCTGATACAGAAGCTATTATTGCAGGTTGGGGAGGAAAATATCCAACAAGTGGATTAAATGTATTGGGTTCATTTCATTTAAAACAAGGTTTAGTTTATGTTAAATCAAATAATTATTGTCAAAATTTTCTTGAATCATTTGATAAAAAAGATGAAATATGTGCAACAAATACACATGATAATGTAGATTCAAGAGGTGGGTTTGTTTTATTTACTTAAATTTGTTTTGCTTTTTAATGATCATTATTCGAATCGAATTAAATTTATGAACTTATATATATTCATAAAAATGAATAAAATATTTTTCAAGTTTAAGTGTAAACGCTCAAGATTTTAAATTAAATTTGGACCTTTTCGATTAGATGAAATTCATTGAGCTGGTAGACCTTTTTAGGAAATGAATTGGCACTTGAAATTCAATTCTATTGACCATTATCATCAGTTATTTTGTTTTCTTTTTGATAAAGAAAACAACTTGAGTTTCTTTTCAAATATTTTTGATAGTTTTAAATCGAAAAGTAAACATTTATTTTATGATAACATAGAAATTGTTTTTTTTCTTTACTGTCTACAACCAAACGAAAAACATCTTACATAATCTTATCGAATTCTTTATTGTTTTTTAATCTCTTTGTTTTTTTTTTCTTCTTATAGAAGGCGACAGTGGTGGTCCTTTAATGATACTTAACAAGACAGATAATCGTTGGTATTTATTTGGTGTTACATCACATGGTGTTAATTCAGAAACAATACAACCTGGAGTTTATTCATCAGTTTTAACTAAACTAAATTTTATTAAAAAATATCTTTAATTAATTGTTTTATATATATATATCTATAAAACATAATGAATGTTATGATGACATAAAAAAAAAGAAAAAAAATCCCATAACAATTATTATCTGTGTAACATCATTCTAACTATGCATCGATTGATATATGTTGTACAATAAATAAACAATAACAGTAATGATAACTCACATAAATGAGATATAAAACTGACGAGACATAAAAATACATAACTTATTTTTGTTGTTCCTAATGTGTAAAATTGATAGTTATGTAAACATAGATAAATAAATAGACAAGATATTCGAGATAGTTTAGTGATAAAAAAAAAGCAAGGAAAAAAAGGAAAGATCAATATTATCATAGAAGAAGAAGAAAAAAAATGTTCGAAAAGATATCTAACTACAATTATTCTTATCGTTGAAGAATTTTCCATTATGAGAAGGTCATAGAAAGTAAATCAGCAATTTTTTTTAGTCAACTATCTATATAGTTAATGATCCTTAACATAAGTTGTCTCTTTGTCGATAATATATTGCCTGGTCTTCGTCGTTGTCTAATTGAAAAATGTAAACTGACATGTCTGTATTTTACTATGATGATTCTATAAACAGTGAAAATGTTCGTTTACTCTTCTATCTATATGTATGTGTGAGTCTCTCAGCTCATCAATTATCTGTAATGCCAGATGGAATCAACTTTCGTGAAGTTGAGCCGCGAGACTGAACGATATCATCGTCTATACTATTTATGATTAATCATTCTTTTCTTTCTTTCGAGAAAATAATGCTATATTCTTTTCCTTTCACTTATCTGATTTGATAGAATAAGAGAGAAACACAAACTCTTTTTTACCATTGCCACTTCTTGTTGTCTGATGACAGACAGAACATTTTGATCGTAATAGAAAAACTAACGAATAAACGTCTGCAACTAGTCTTCTTCTATATATATATACGTATATTCATTTTTAATGATAATCAATCAATGATATGATGACTGCCTCGTGTCCTGGTTTTCTCGATCGATATGGAATATGGAATAATGGTATTAAAAATTTATATATATATTTTTTTTCTTTTTATTTCGATAAATATGAATTTATCTTTACTCTAAGATTCTGTAAGGAAAATCAAACCTCTAAGTTTTCTTGTTTGTAATAGAAAAGAAAGCGAATGAACTTTTCTGACTATAACTATTCAGGATAGTTTTTAAGAAATTTAATGATCAATTTCTTATTATTCAAGATTCTAAGTATCGTAATACATCCCGACAAAGACCTTTTCTTCATTATCGATACACATTGCTAGAAGATATTAACTGATAAACGGAAGGACACATTCCTGAAATGTTCTTGCTGACTATGAAATAATATCTTACGTTCTTCGTGCTGATTTCGTTACAACTACATTGACTATTCTAATCGTTTCTTAGATTGATGACACTCAAAAAAAACTAAAAATAAACTTGATAATCATTAAATTTTTAATCGAATGAATAAAACATTTCACATTTCATTTTGATTATTTTGCAGGTTTTGATTGTTCATCACCTCGAATTTGTTGTGGTACGGAAACAGATCGTTATTGTTGTATTCCATCTAAATCATCATCATCATTATTATCTCAAACTTCATATCAATCATCGGAGAATTTAGTTTTTCACACATCTAATAGTTTTCTTTCTGAAAAATGGTTTTTCTTTCAAATATGTACTGCTGCTATATTTCTTGCCATTATTTTACTCATGTTTGTTATAATTTGTCAATGTTTAACATCAATTCGTCGTAATAGACAACGTCAACAACAAAGAATACCTATTGTTCAAGTACCTGTACCAGCTAGTGTACCACTTTTAATTGAACATAATCGATCTGTATCAAATCGTATATCAACAATAAGTAGTACACCAAGTGATACTAAATCACGATGTACAGATACATCAACAGTATTTAATACACCACTTAATCTTTATCCAACAGCAAATAATCGAAATTCAACATCAACATCATCATCCTATTATATGTTTCCTAATGAATTTGAACATCTTTGTAAATAAAAAAAAATTTATTAATAGTTATATCAGTGTTTATTGTACATCGAATTTGTAGTTTTTTTTTAAATTGAATTTTGGAAATACACACGTATACGAAAAACTAAAAAATGGAACTCGTATAAAAATAAGGCTATGATAAAATACAAGAACCGCTATGTTCTTTGTCATGCGATGGTCTTCTATGTTTCTTTTTACTTTTTTCTGAACGTCGTTCATCATAATATTCTTGAGAATATCGTTCCTGTGGCTGTCGTTGTTGTTGTTGTTGTCTTGTTTGCACTTCATGATATTGCCGTCGTTCTTCATTATGAATAGCTATCGCCAAATCACGACTAAATATATATGAAATTCGAAAAATTAACACTTTTTCTGTAAATAGATCAAACAGACTCTCGAGATACATCCACCGATACTGGTTTTTGCCAGTTTTGACCATAACCATCAGTAAATGAATTATCATTATCAACATCAGTCAATGTTTCAAAAACAATTGATTTATGATTGGCAAAACCTTCATCAGAAACAAGTAATAGTAGTTGTTTCTAAAATTAAATAAAAGATAACATAATACTTGGTCGATAAAATAGATGACATAGTCAGTACAAACAAAATATGTATATGATCAGTATCAATATTGTACGATCAGTAGCAGAGATGTGCGAAGCCATAGAACAGAGAAATAATTGAGATTAATCTCAGGACGATGAGAAAAAAGTTGTTCCGACTGGAATTAAAGGTTATAGTTAAATATCCTCTGGTTTTAAGCGCGTTATCTTATCAATCATCAATCAGAGTGTAATTCAAGAGCGATAATCAAAAAGATCGCTAGTTATTGACTAAGTTGAAAAACAAGCATTTGAAGGATTCTTTTAAGATATGAAATGAATAAATTCTACAATAGTTTTCTCTACACTGGAAGCAGAGATTGACTGAGACCGATGGAAAAAAGTATTTGTTTATTTTTTCTTAGCAATCAATACTAGCTTTTATGTTGCTGGTGACTTACGACATTTCAAACGAATAGACATACAAGCAACGTGCTAACATTTGTAGTTCTTCGAAAAAATACTAATTAGTTGCATTTTGATTTTTACCATTGTGAACTGTTCTTCATTTTCATATGCTTAATAACGTCACCCAGTCCTTTTTTTTTAGTTTTATGGATTATTCTTTGTTCTCTTGTGAATATTGTACATGTGTTTTAATCTTCTTATGCATCATTGCCTTCGGGATATTCCTTATTATGAGTTTTTTCTCTTATTCCCTATACATATATAGTGATTCATTTGCTGCAATACAGTTAAGACAACTGCTCAAGGCTTTATTAACATCTACTCGGTTACACAACATAAGAATCATACTGTGTTGACATGAAGCTTTACATTTTTTCTAAATTTTTGAAAACTGACTTGTCAATTATTTTACTGACTATTTCAATAATATTTTAAGTAAAATTCAACCATACAGAAAAAAAAATCCTGATCAATTCCTTCTTGAAACAAGAGCTAAAGTTTCAGCCATCTACATTTTTTCTAGAATAAGTTCTAAGCTCGAAAATTTCTTGTATCATTGTCAGTTTTGTCTAAAAGTAAGACAAGAAGACTCCATTTAACAAAAAATTGTTAGTGCAGCCTTGACTGAATTAACATGTGGAATACAGTATAGTTACTTTTGCTCATCCTAGGAATATTATTTTATTCTATATATCTTGGGACACATACCTTCATGCTCTTTTTACTGAATCCTTCAGAAATGCAATAGAAAAGTAGTTAATGTATTGTAACGAGCCATTATTGCTATACGGTCCGTGATCGTACATCAATAGCGTATGTCATGATCTGTGAAGGTTTCTGGCTAGCTTCTGTCATAGTTTGTAGGAGGAGGAATCCAAATTTCTATCCTATATATTTTAACATTTTTTTTTAGATCGTCCTTCACAAATATATGTAAGTTAAGAGAAGGAATGAAAATCTATTAGCCTTTTCCAGAGCAAGCAGAATAACAAGATAAATTTTCTCAGTCAATAACAGTGTGATATCAATCATCAACTACTTATTCACAGTATACGAAGCCTTAAAGATAGACATATTTTCTCGTTGAACAATTCATTGATATTTCTTAGCTTCCTTAATTATTACACATAGAAACCTTTATTGTTAAATCTTGATTAGATCAAAGCTAGAAAATAGCTTACATTATTTTTCCATATTGTATTGAAATGATTATTTCGAAAGAAAACCGCTAATTGATTATCTCGCATAGTTTCATTTAATTGAAGTATACCATAATGCGTTAATTGTGAACGATTTTCTTCAAGAAATTGTTCAATTAAATAACCTTAATAATTATATTCTAATTTTTTTTTTCTACATCAAAAAGAAAATAATTAATTATTTTACTTTCTTGTTTAAGTTCTTCGTTATTAGACTGTCGTTGTTGAATCATTTTTTCAACTAATTGATTATAACTTGATCCATTGGCATTAACAATCTTTTGTAATTCATTATTTTGTGGATCAATAACCCATCCATGATATAATTGTATATCAAGTAAATCAAATACAATACATTCTTTGGTATATTCAAATTTATCAACACTAAATACAAACAAAACATAACAATCAATCTTATTCGAAATAATTAATATGTTCTATTTACCCATTAAATTTTAAATTAAAATCTAATCCTGTTTGAAATTTAGGAAGTACTGCAAGTGTTTCTGCAACATTATGCTCATAATTAGCACGATATTCATTGGAATATTTCTTAATAGAAATTGAAAATAAAAAGACAATATGTTTTTCTTTCTTTTAATAATCATTTACTGTTGTATCAATTTGAAGTATATATTCAGCAATCATTGCTATAACACGTTCTGTGCTGATTGCACCTGCATTAGGATCGAGACGAATCTATATTATATATAAGTCATCTGATCATTTCAATCAAAAAAATAATAAAGTAGTTTTTGTTTTTACTCTTTGTCTTAGAAGTAAAATATTTGCTATAGCAAGAAGTGGACAAGGTCCATTTAGATTTTGTAGAAGAATAGGTACTTGTTCATGATTAAATTCAATCCATTTAATTATATATGTATCATTATCTATTTGTTTAGTTTCGAGCGATTTTCTATCACATGCAGGAGATGGATTTTTCACTATTGAATCATGTACTTTTGGATTTTCACCGGAGATAGCTCGATCATATGAATTCGAACGACGATGACCTTCATATGGTTTTTTTTGATCATCAACTGGACGATCAGATGATTCCTCAGTATTGGACATTGTTGAAAATTTAATTCGAAAAATAAAAATTTAAACGGAAGAAACAACAGAACAAGCAGGCAGCTGGTTTCCGATGAATCACTTTTGATGGAAATCTGATGACGACATCTATTAAATCAGAGTCTGTTGTTAGGGTAAAGATATATGAAAATGACGATGAGACTTATTTTTTGGTTAAAAACTGTTTTATTTAATAATGACAACATCAACTGGAAATATAAATAAAACTTATTGGACAGATAGTAATTATGATGGAGAAATTCGAAATGAAAGGTAGAAAATCAAAAAACAAAAAAAAAGAAAGACTTATGAAAAAGAAAATATTCTTGTTTGTAAATTTAGACTTGAAGGAAATGCTAAATTTACTTTTCCGTCTGGTACTACTTATATAGGTGAATTCAAAGATGGTGAATTTCATGGACATGGTATTCTTCATTATGCCAATGGTGCTAAATATGAAGCTATTTGGGAAAAAGGTGTAGCAAAAGAAGTAGGGAAATAAATTTTTTTTTTTTTTATATTTTAATATTTGGAATATTTCTTTCTTAGGGTCAATATACATTCCCAGATGGTTTAACATATGATGCTAATGATTGGAAATATTGTGATGGTTATGATAGACGTTTTTATACTGAAACTCTTCATGGTTTAAAACCAGCTGGACGATCTCAATTAAAAGATAATGAACCACCTCAAGTTATTCCTCATGATTGTTATGATGTAGGTGATGGAATTTATAATCCAACATCTCGTATTGTTACTGATTATAATGGAGAATTTGTGAGAAATGCTGGTAAGAAATTGAATTAGGATTTTATTTTGTTTTTCTCTATACATGAATTTTTTTTTATTACAATAATAGATGATGATGAACATCAATGGATTATTCGTACATGTCGAAAAGGATGGGATGAACATGTTGGGGGACAAAATCCAAGACTTAAACCTGATATGTCGAAACTTAAGAATTAATTAATTCTTTTTTTTCTATTTATAAATAAATCAATTTTTTTAAATTATTTAACTTGAAATGAATGAATCATTAAGCAATTACGTATGACTTTTACCTTTTTATTAAATACATATCTGCCGTTCTATTATAATTATCTCTCTATTTATCATATCACTACATAATTATGTGTTAAAATTAAGCAAAATAGCTGTACTAGCTTTTGCAATCAATTCAAAATATTTTCTCATATACAAACTAACATTTTACTTAGTGGTGGCGTCACGGTTTTTTTTATTCAGACAAGGTTGAGCTACCTCAGTTAGAACACGTCGAATGAAAATTTTTGGAGCCCGAAACCGTTCGAACCGTATTTCACTTTTTTGTATTTGGCGACTAGCGCACTGTATACGTTTTTCAGACGAGTTGTTTAAGAAATGTGTAGGATAGAGCTCATCGATTCAAAGTTTTCAGATCCGAATTCGATGGGTTCTACCCTCAGCTCTTCTGTGCAAATACTGTTAGCTACAAGTTTTAAAACTTTCCGAGAGAACTCAGTTTCCTTTACTCTCTGTGCTGTCGCAACTAGTTTTGATATCTAATCTTTTGTAATTTTCAAATAAATTAAAGAAATAAAACAGCTTGATATCTGTTTTCACTGAAGACCAGACATGTGTAGGACCAAGGTTTTGTGGTCTCGGCAGCTTCTTTGTGAGTAGTCTATTCGAATCTAGTATATTCCTGATCTTTGTCTCATAAGTCTATTCAAGTGCAACAGTTATTGAAAGAATACATAAAATCGTGTTTTAAAATAAAAATTTAACTTATTTAAAATAATGTTGTGAATGAAATCAGAAGAAACAGCTTCTTCATCAATTATTTCAAGCAAATGTGTATTATCAAAGAATTTACCATAGTCATATTTACAAAAGAAACAAACAAGATTGTCTAAAAATAATGAATCAATAGAGGGTATGGCAAATTCCTCTTTCCAGAAAATTCACATTTCATCACATGAATAGTAAATCAAACACATAATGAAAGAGAATCTTTTTCTATTCTAACTCTAAACTGCTTGAAGCCACTCAAACCAAGCATAAGATTAGTAACCAAACCAAATGATGACTACCCACATACTCTCATCAGCTCCCACTCAGTGATTGCTACCAGATAGATAGTGTATCCAGAAAGTGTATATAATCTGGTAGGGTTGGATTGGGTGAGGAAATTCATTTTAACTTGTAAGTGAGTATCTATATTTATTTAGGTTGGGTTGGTTGCACCCAACCGACATAAAAATAAATAATCACTTGAAGTTAAAACGAATTTCTTCACTCAACCAAACCCCATCCAAATAAATATAGATACTCACTTACAAGTTAAAATGAATTTCCTCATCCAACCCAAATGCATAGATGTTGAAATAAGTTGTGAGCATTTGATATCCAAATTAATAGACAGTAGTTATTTGGAAAACTTTTGATTTGATTTTCCAGGAAAATTTCCTCAAAGTCAATTTATTTGAATTTCCTGAAAAGAGGAACTTACGATGGTGTGAATCAATATTTAGGGTGTTGATCTGGTCGTGTTATTGCCAATTTATCTATAGATACTTCAGAAACACATACCTAGTACAAGATTTACCGAATCTATTGAATACGTTCAAAATAAGCAGTACATTTGAGCGACATCACTTATGTTCATATACTTATACAAGTATATGCATATTTTTCGCTCTTCAATCGAGCCATGATTGGATTGGCGTATTCAAAATTCAGTCAACTGTAACGAAAGTATAATTGAGCTTAAGTTCATTTCTAATTTTAAATCAACGAGATCTCTTATATCAATTAGCATCCGTACTGTGTGTTTGAAGAGAGATCATACGGACTAAAACATCGAAATACATTTATCCTTATGAAATAATTAAAGATTGATGGGTTTTATCAATAAGAATAAAACTTGATCATCTTCTTGTTGCCATTGTCGAGGTGAATTGATGCTCTTTCAAATAGATTAAGAACAAACAAAAAAACATCAATAAATATCATGTCAGCATTTTCAATACAAACACAAAAGATAAAAATCGTCTTTTCATTTATCTAATTTAATAAAATATTTCATAATACATGTATTTTCAGAGGTAATCTTACATTTTGTTTATGAATTTTGCATTAAATTACGAAACACATATTTCGCGGATAATTTTTATCTATGATGTGATTATTATTCTTGGAAACAACTGTTGAAAAGATAAGTACGTCTTTCTAATCTTTGTTTTATTTTTTGCACTATTTGTTTACTCTTCTACTAACACAGACAACGTTACTCGTTTCTTATCTGTAACGTCCATACTACTCAACCTACATAAAACTTTTATTTATGTTTTTTTTTAAAATAATAAAGTAAGTTAAAAGCAAATCTTATAGAGATTTTTTGGTGTACTGATGTTTCTAAATAGATAATGAAATTTTTCAAGAAAAAATCTGCAAGAAGTGTGACACCATTGGTCACATCGGAAACACGAGAAGAAAATAATTCTCGTGCAATATTATCTTCTAATAAAAAATCACATCATACTATTGAGGTACCATTATCAACACATGAGATGAATAGTCGAAAACGCAATTTTTATCAACGATGTTGTTCAAAAGAAAGTCTTAAAGAACAAGCTTTACTCATAACTACTATTGCTTCAGTTGTGATTGGTATTGGAGTTGGACTTGGTCTTAGAAATCTTAAATGTAGCACAGGTAAAGAAAAAAAAACTCAGTTCTTCAAGAATTTCTTTTTCTATGACTTTGTTTTTGTCATAGATGAATATATTAATGGATGTCGTTTAACTAAAGAAGATATCGGATACATCGAATTTCCAGGCACGATCTTTATTCATATACTTAAATTGTTGATACTTCCATTGATTGTTTCAAGTATTATTTCATCATTAGCTCAACTCGATGCACAATCATCGGGAAAAATGGGTTTAAGAGCATTGATCTATTATTTTGGTACAACTATTATTGCAGCTATTGTTGGTATTATTCTTGTATTAAGTATACAACCTGGATTACGTGGTGGTCAAGTTGAAATCAAACCAGAATCAAAATCAGTCGAAGGTCGAACTGTTGATACTATTCTGGATTTAATCAGGTAAAAATATCTATAAAGAATAGGTTTTTATAATTTATTATTTTATTAAATTTGACATTGTAGAAATCTATTTCCTGATAATATTGTACAAGCTGCATTTCAAACTGTGAGTATTCAAAATAAAACTAATCGTATATATTCGTTCAGTTTATTATTAGACAGGTACGAAACTTACCGTCAAAAAACAATTAGTTCAGGGTGAAAATAATACAAGTAATATTTTTATTTTAATAATTAAAAATAATAAAAGACATGATATATATTTAGCTTATAACAAAACTACCTACAATGCCGTACTAGAAAAACGAGATGGTATTAATGTACTTGGTTTACTTCTATTTTGTATTCTATTTGGTATTATTATAAGTCGTTTAAAAGAAAAAGCACTTATACTTAAACAATTTTTTGAAGCTATGTTAGAAGTTGTTATGCAACTTGTACGTATTGCTATGTTATTTAGTCCTATTGGTATTTTTTTTCTTATTGTTGCCAAAATACTTCAAATGGATAGTTTAAGTGATTTTGTTGGTTCATTAGGTCTTTATATGGCAACTGTTTTAGCTGGTTTATTTATACATGGATTCATTATTTTACCTTTAATTCTTTTTATTATAACACGTATGAATGTTTTTAAATATATACGTGGTATGAGTCAAGCACTAGTAACTGCTTTTGGTACAGCTAGTTCATCAGCAACATTACCTGTAACATATAGATGTGTTGAAGAAAAAAATCATATTGATCCAAGAGTTTCACGATTTGTCTTACCAGTTGGAGCTACTGTTAATATGGATGGAACAGCATTATATGAAGCTGTAGCAGCTATTTATATAGCTCAACTTAATGGTATTCCATTGAATGCTGCCAAAATTATTGTAACTACGTAAATAGATATTAATTCAAAAATTATGAATATATATATATATGTATGTGTATTGTTATTTTTTGTAATATTCTTTAGTTTTACATCGACATTAGCATCCATTGGTGCTGCAAGTATTCCGCAAGCTGGTCTAGTAACAATGGTTATTGTTCTCAATGCACTTGGTTTACCAGCTGAAGAAGTTAGAACAATCTTTGCTGTTGATTGGTTCCTGTATGTTTATAAATTTTTATTATCATAGTCTTGTATTATTAATAAATATGTTTTTATGCATTTTTAGTGATCGATTTCGTACTGCTATTAATGTATTTGGTGATTCGATTGGTTGTGCTGTTGTAAATCATTTATCACGTAAAGAACTAGATGCACTTGATAATAAGAAATTATTAGCTGATAATACTGATACAAATAATCCAAACTCGAGTGTCTCTTTTCTTGTACCTAATAATACTACTACATTTCCATCTAATCATATGGAACCCGTGGCATATGCTAATCCAACATATTCAAATCAATCAGAAACAACAGTTGATGATGATGATAATGACACTATTATGGATCAAACAAGTTTTTAAAAAATAAAAAAAAATTGAAACTATTTTACTAATAAAATATCGTATATGTTTCTACATATTTTTGCCTTTAATTTTTATAGAAATATAAGATATTCGAAAAAAAAGATATGAGTTATACTACGTGTGGTTGGAATATTTCATTTTTCATAATGATTTTCGATGACATTATCGATTAATGTAACTACTCTTATTCATCTCCTTTATAATACATTAGTGATAATCATGTATGACAAGCTCTTTTCCTATTCAGATGAAATAAGATAGACAAAAAGATATTTATCGATACATCATACTGACTGTGTTTTCTTATAAATAAAGAAGAATGTCATCAGTCTACATACGAGAGAAATATTAACTAAACAGATGAGATTTCCTTTCCATTATTTCTAGTTCATCTGTAATTCTTTATCTTTGGCTTATCTTCATCATCATACAAAATAACATATTGAAGGTTGATTTTATTCTTGTCTTTTCTTCAATGTCTTATTGACATATGTTTCTTATAAATGCTAATTGTACTATTATCAAAGTATTTTACACAATGAAGAATGATGATCAGAACTATGGCAATTACTACTACAAGCGCAACAAAACTAGCATTTGATAGGACGCCCAATACTATTTGTAGCGGATTTATTGATGCACAAGGAACATGGAATAATGGTTAGTTGTAAAGATAAGTCTATATTTGATGTTATAAATACGTGTAAATTGAACTAGAACAGACGTTGAACACTGACGTATGTGTAAAAAAAACACTTTGATAAAATGTTTTTGTTTGACAGGTTTTGCATGTCCAATTGAAAATTCAATCCAATATTTCTGTTGTGGGACAGATACTTCTCGTTCTTGCTGTCCACCTGATCGTTATTCATTTGAAACAAAATTTTATACTGATTCTAATCATATTATTGATTATCCTCAAGTATATAATGGTATTCTAACGGACGAAATAACTGCATCATTAATTAATCATCAACGAATGATTAATAAACAATTTCAACAATTTCAAAAATATTTTTTACCTACTTTCTTACTAACAACAACTATCCTTTTTCTTATTGGTATTGCTCTATGGTTTTGGTTGTACAAACATAAAAGATATTATTCATTAACACAAGATGATCTCATTCAATCGAGAACATCACATCGAACTCATCATATTGATTCTACGTCAAGATTAGAAGAAAATATTGATCTAAGTGTAGAACAACAATCTCGATCTTTATCATATTCATCAACTGTAGTTTAATCTTGATTTTTATTTATGAATCCGTCCATTTTTAAAACAAAATGATTCATTAAAATTGGTTTACTATAAAATATCGAAAGATGGCGTGAGATATCGAATAAATATTGTTTCTGGGCAAATTCTATTATAGCTGTCCAGTTTTTATTCTAACTCATATCCATCATATATGCGTATATATATATTTTTTTTCTTTCATACTGTTTAGTTCACCTTTTCACCTTCCTTTCCTCTTATTCTCATTTGATGTAGACTCGACTCATTTTTTTGTGTCTCGTGCTGTTTTTTCATAATCATCGATCGTAGGTGTTCTGATTTGTAATTTTTAGATGATGTCAACTGATCCATCAAACATGGATACTGAAGATGATTTACTCCAACCAGAGATTCTTGACAATGCATTGACTAAGCCAAAAGTTTATTTTTGATTTCTATTAATTAAATATCATTATCATTATTTTATTTCATATTTAGATTATTCCAATTTCAACAAAATATGGTTATGTAATAGTAACACAACAAGGTCCACCGGATCGTCCTGCAATTGTTACTTATCATGATGTTGGATATAATTGTACGTTTTTCTTATTTATTTTTATATAAAAAATATTTTAAACAAATAATTGTTTTTCTTTCAAGCTGCAACACAATTTCATCAATTTTTTGCATTTCCAGAAATGATGCCAGTCACTGAACATTTTACTATTTATCATATTAATGCACCTGGACAAGATGAACAAGCTAATCTATTACCGACTGCGTATGAATTTGTTTCATATTATTATGAATCAGTAGATTTTATTCTAGATTTGTTTATCCTACTCTGGATCAATTAGCTGTATCAGTTTATGATGTATTTGTGCATTTAGAGTAGGTCTTTGTTTTATTTCTTAATATTTCGGACATGGTCAATTTTTTGTTAATTGAATATGTTTTCTTTTAGTATTAAATCTGCTATTGGATTTGGTGTTGGTCTTGGTGCTAATGTTTTGGCTCGTTTTGCATTGCAATATCCAACAAAAATCTATGGTCTTATTTTGATTAATTGTGTTTCACGTAGTGTAGGATGGCTTGAAAGTTTCTCCGTTAAAGTATTTAATTTTTGACAAAAATAAATCGTTTTCTTTTTAATATATATCAAGTTCATTTTTTATAGCGAACAGCAAAGGACGTGACACAACAACATTGGACAGAAGCATTACTGAGCTATCTTATTGAGCATAATTTAGGATCTGTATGTATGATTGATGTATATTAATAAAAAAAAGAATAATGAAATTTATGAAATACAGACATCAGATCCAGATCTGGTAAATATGGTTCGACGTCATTTAGAAGAAAATGTTAAAGCTAAAAATGTGATTAAACTTCTGAATTCATATTTAACGTAAAACTATGTTTAAATAAAAATTTCATTGTTGTTTTTTTTTTGTGTCTTTTATTTAGTCGTACAGCTCTTCCAATCAATCGACCAGCTGATACAGGTAGAAAGGCTAATCCATCTGGAACTCTAAAGTATGTAGAATTTCTGTAATAGAAAAAAAAAAACCAAAATCGAATTATTTTCATAGATGTTCAGTAATTAATATTACTGGATCTTCATCACCACATAAACAAGATGTTATGGATACTAATGATCGATGTGATCCATCAATGGCTTCTTATGTTGAACTTGCTGATTGTGGTGGTGCTGTTTTACTTGAACAACCAGCAAAATTAGCTGAATCTATTCGACTTTTTCTTCAAGGTCTTGGTTATAGTAAGAAATATACATTTTCAAAATTTATTATTATTATTTTTATTGTCTTACAAAAAAACTTTATTTTCTAGTTTCACATTTAAGCATTCCACGTTTTTCAACTGCTAATCGTTTAGCTGAACAAGCAGCTGAATATAAACGTCAACATGGTTCATTATCTAAAGTACCTCGTCGACTTAGTACACAAGTTTATTATAAAGATTATGGTGACAAAAATTCTGGTGAATCTGATGATCAACCTCGACCTCGTACCAGTTCATTCAGTAATCGAAATACTCAATTTTAAATCTATTATGTCTTTCATATTCTCTCATAACATTTCATTTGCAATAGTGATCTCATTTTATATTTTTTTTTTATTTAAATCTCTTTCCAATTAAATCATAGTGTTTTTTTTAAGCAGTAAAAAAACAACGAAGACAATATTTTAAGTTTTAGATTTCGATAACTAATGTCGTTTCATCAACGTGATGAAATTCGATGGAATAAAAAAGGTTATTTTGAAAGATTCGATGGAAAAAAATATTGGCGAAAATTATGTGTTATTGAAGGATGTATGAAACGAGCGAAAGTACTCAATTGGTGTAAACGAGTAAGTCTTATGTGTTGATAGATCAACAAAAATATTAGTCTATTGAGCAATATAGTTATAATATTTTATGACTGTGTCATTTAAATTGAAAACTCGAATGTCTTAGAACTTCTAGTTTTGTATTTATTGCTGGCTATTTGTTATAAAACAGTTGAGGAAGCTTCTATACTCTTTTGTAATCTTCTATAATAAAATTGATTTGTATTTAGCACTATACGGAACAAAAGCAAAAATCATTAATAACAACAACAACAACAACTCCTACACAAGTTCCACAACAATCATTAATATCATCAATACCTAGTTCAATCACTACATCTACTAATTCAAATAGTATTTTATCAGCAAATCTTCTATTTCATCAGCCACATTATCATCATTTACAAGCTGTTTCTCAAATTCCAATGCCACCTCCGTCATATCTTTATACATCTTCATCATCATTATCTGATCAATCTGAATCAATATTTCATGTTCGAAATGAAATTCGTTTAAATAAACGTGGTTATCGTGAACAATATGATGGTATTGGTCATTGGCGTCCATTATGTATACATGAACAATGTTTAAAACGAGCAAAAAAATTATCCTATTGTAAACGACATTATAGTGAACAAATGAATCAAAATCAATCGAATTCAACTAATATTACAAATGAAAAAGATAATAAAGATTAAATCAAAATTTAAAACAAGTGAATGGAATAACATGAAGAAAAAAAAACTGTCAGATAGACAAAAAATGTATTTGAAAAACAAAAACAAAATGAAACTGTGAATATATGTATATATTTATTATAAAACTTTGCATTTATTGTTCTTTGGTAATGAAAGTCAATGTCAGTTTTTTTTTTGTATGTATAATTTTAATTTTAAAAAAATATCAGTCTTAAATGAATGTTGAATAAATGAATATTTATAGACTATTTGATTCGTGTTTTCAAGCAATGAAATCAATACTATTCTAATAAAAAAAAAAAAAATAAAATAAAAACCAAGTCTTCAAGAAATTGCTACTATGTTTTAAAATAATGTAAAGGTAGCATCTAAATAATTTGTTTTTCTCCCGTACATTAAAATAATGTTTATTGAGATGAATATATCAACGCAAAAGAACAAGGAACCTATCAACTAAAATCACCATAAACAAATATTTTTTTGAAAGAACTAACGACAGGTAGTCTAAAAATAACTGAAGGACAGATATTATCTATGCTTCAATATAGTGATTCATTTTTCTTTCTTTCCTTTATATTTTTTTTTATATTACAAGAACCTTCAACTTAACATAATTAATAAACACTGCTTTCGTAAACAAAATCTAAGAGATATGGAAAACGATAACAGATGTGATATAATGAAACAAAAACAAAATAAACAGAAGCTCATAAGACGATATTATGATGAATATAAAGCCAAATAATACAAATGTATCAATTCTATTGTAGGAAATGTTGTAATGGATAAAGATATTTATTTTGTAGTGACAATGTATATAAACACGTATTTAACCAATATGAAATCGGTTTATTATCGCTGTGAGGTTGAGATTTCGAATCGAACTGAAATTTACTTCATCACTTCTCATTAAGAGTTTTATTTCTAAGGATAATTAGTATACACTACAATGCTCACTATTCTATTGTGTTGCTAACATAGGTGATACAAGGTCAATTTTTTATACAAAGCAATAAAGTTTTGAATAGGTCTTTTCTGTCTACCCTTCCATCACTAGTGAACATTCCAGCAGCAAAAACTTGACCGCTTGAATTGAATTTTTCTTAAAGGCATGATATACGAAAGTTTCAATAATCCATTATCTGACAGTAAATTACGAGCTTTAAACTAGTCTAACACTTTTTATTTAAAAACAAAACTATTCAAAACAATGTAGGAAAAATTTAAATTTTTTTCTCATTACTTTTTGTTTACTAACTATTCTATTCTCACTTTTATATGAATAGAAAACGGTAAAAAGAAACTGCGAATGCCAAATAGTAAGGCCACTTTCTGATCAAAAGTCATTTAGTATCATATAATTAATCTTAAAACGAGATGGATCTCGATCCAGTCGTAAACTATGAAGATCACTTGTAAAGGGAAGAGAGAGTGCATAATAATCACATGAGGAATGCATATGAAGATAGATGTATTCATCAGAATAACAATAAAAAAAAAATCATGCGACTATAAATCAATCGTCTTACATGAACTACAGAATTGTATTGCATATATATGTTGAATTAATTATTCATCGAAAAAAGACTTTATGAGAATTAATGAAGTAGACTTCAACGAAATGGGAAAATTTCTGTAACCTTCATTGTTTGACTTGACTAAAAAATTAATATATAGCATCAACACAATTTTTGTGAATTACTTTTCTTTCATCATACAGAGTCACTGATGACAGAATAAAATATAATCGCATACAACTGAGATTTTGTTAATTAGAACATAATACCATATATCAAAATCAGTATGGACAGGCAAATTTTTGCAAAATGTATTATATTTATTGGAAATGCAGTCTATGAATGAATTCAAATTATAAACAATAACATTTATTTTTCAAGTGATATGCCTTAAATCGAAGTAAGTGAAGGACTGAAACTTTCTAGACAAAATATTTGACAATTTTTCGTATTTATAAATGCCTTAAGGGGGCCTCTCAGAAATGAGTTTCCACTTTTGACGGTCCTTTCAACCTGAAATTTTCAGGGATGACTGATCTTGGAGAGATACGCTTCTGGTAAAAATTTCAGCTCGATTGGTCATACTAGACAGAACTTCCAGCTGATTCATGGATCATTTTTGGCCTTCAGGAAAATTGGAATAACTCCATCGTAAGAAGAGATAGAGAGCTCGGGCTGGTTTCAAATTAAAATACATGTCAGTATGCAACTTTTATCCGAACGGAATTTTCATATTCCGTCCTATTGATTTTTTACGAGCATTTTAGTGCGAGGGTCTTAAAATTAGCATAAAAAATGGTAGTCCAACGACAGTGAATTCCACTTTTCTCAACCCAGGAACCAACTTTCAAAAATCCGTTCGGACAAAAGTTTACTCTGATCGAGACCTTTAAAACAAAAAAAAATATTGGCAATAGCTCGAAAAATGAGGGAGGAGATCCAATTTTTCTGATTGAAAATCATATTCTGAGAAAAGCCTTAACGAAGTTTTAGAAGTGGTTTTCTTCGATTAAATTCAAAAAATTCATATTAAAATGGCATATTTTCAATAAATTTTCTAAAACTATTTTAAGGCGCGTAAAAGATGCAGTAAAACTAACGCCATTTTACACGCGGGTTAATATTAAAATGTTTTATTCAATGATATTTGAAGTAGCAACGGGGTTTTTCCAAAACTGAAAAACTCTTAAAAACTACGAAAATTTCTTGGAAAATATGGTAGGAAAGTTAAAGTCTGATCTGACAAGTCCTTGAAAAACCGATCATTTTCCAAAAATCTATATATAGTCTGAAAGAGGAAGCTTCGCTCTCTCTTCCTATGGTAAAAACTCAATTTCGATATTGTTTCGAAAAAATCGATTTTCTGAGGGGGGGGCCCTTAAGAAAGACTGATAAGTAGTGTATTCGGATCAGAATTTTGTGCTCTTTCAGTAGCTGTTGGTTTTGAACTATATATGAATCTTGAAAAGACTCAAAAATGTTTTCTAGAAGAAAATATTTAAAATGAAATTCTTCTAGAAAAGTCACAAAAACTTTATCAAACATATTGTATAATACAGAAAATAATTCTCTACAAAGCAGTACTATTCGAATAAAAGATTTTTCAAAGTATTGAGTCCCAGTAAAGACTTTTATCAAGTCTATCGCAAGAAAAATGGCGATTTTTCAGATTTTCGTCTTTTCAGCACAAAATAACCCTTCGTATTATATGTTTTCAAAACTTATTTGATGTTTACAAGATGTAGATTTCATCCCACAATTTTTTTAAACTCTTCCATAGTTTATAGATCAATAGTCAAAATTTATCGCAAACCTTTAAGCACATCTTCTGACAGAACACAACGTCTCATTCTTTTTCCAATGCATTAAAATACACGCAAAATAGTCAAATAATTCGTGTAAAATTTTTCAGCCTAGTTTAAAGAAAAAAAATTCATACTCAGTTTATCAAAACTGACACTACAAGTGTATCTTCTGTGAAGAGAAGGCAATCATCCATATTTCAGATCTGTCTTTATTTGAACATGGTTTCGTTTAGTTTTGATGTTTGCATATAGATGCTTTTGTACTTCGATTAATTTATGTTCATTCGATATTTGATTCCATGTTACAATGCAAATGAGACAATGTATTGAAGTTCAAGAAAACCAAGCTTGTGACAGATACATAGTAACTATGATGTCTAATGAACAAGTCGATAAATTTCAGTTAGTTAAAATTCATATGAGCAAACCTTTTTTTAATTTACAAGATTAAAAATTTTGATTTTATGTTCAAAAATAAGAAGATACAACTTAAAATAATATCGTTTCATCGATATTTTCAATTAATAATGACATTTACTATTACATCATCTATCAGAACATAGAGAATTAATCTTCGATTTTTACATAACAACTTGTAGAGTGTATATACTTTGACATAGAAAACAATTTCTTGAAATAAGTTTTTCTCAGAAAATCCTTCTGGTGTTTTTTTTTCTATACATTGGTCTGAGGTT